TATATATATATATATACTTGTATAACATTTTAGTTGTTGGTACTAATTTTTGTACATGTATATACATAATTAATTGTATATCCAGAAACTACTATATGTTAATCTTAGATAAAATTATGTATGTGTTTTTCTCTATTTGTAGTTAAACCATCAAGCTTAGGGATTATTACGAGTTGTTAGATACATAAAAGAAAAAGAAAAATAATTAAACACAAAAAATAAAATGATTTTTTTCCTATTAATTTGGTTTTTCGTAAATAAACATATATGCATATAATTTTCATATACTTCCTGCTTTACACTTTTTTGTCTAAATTATTATTTATAACTTCGATTCGTATAATAAAGGTAAAACATTTGACATAGTTATTTTATAAAGTGTTTTACCAAATGTTTAATAATTTAAAAATGTATTTTACAAAGAATTACTTACCAAAACTATAATTATCTGAAATCACAACCTTATAATAATTTTCCGATGTATACGTTCTAATATAACTTGTAATATAAATTAATTTAAGCAAATATTTCAATTATATTCAACAATTCAAAATTAATGTTAATCAATTTTAAACTAATTAAATTTTAAAACAAACAGATCCTAATTAGTTTAAAATTCTTAATCAAAACCCATAAAATGATGTTTTTGTAATAATTTCTGAAATATATTTTTTATAAATTCATAACTTCACTTATCTCCAAAAGATTTATTTTATCAAATGTTTAATAATTTATGTTTGAACTAGAGTTACTGTAAAATAATAATTATTATAAAATAACACGTGAAAATAATATTATTACTTTTTAAATACTCAAATACATTCCAAATGGGACAGAAATATATATGCAATTCCACTTTACACCGTCAAGGTTTAACAAGCACAAAAATCCAAAACAAGACACAATATCTTGTTCAGATGTATAATTATCAATATTTCGTAGTACACATGACATGATTGTCTATTTCTATTCTATTTCATTTTACTCTGTCAAAGGCTAAGGGTCATAATAGATTTATAAAGGTCATACATATTAAAAAATGACTCCTCAATGTTCTTCCTGAAACATTTCATTCACAAGGATGTGCTCAACGGTGCTTCTTACCGGCACCCTTTTTACCATGTTTCTTCTTACCACCATTCCCTTTCCTTGTATTGGACATTCTGGTTCCACTTTCATGATCTCTTGATGGTGCTGAATTTAACAAATGCTTCACATTGAGTATGCCATTTCTAAAATGACCTTCACTTGACTTCAGGCCCCTGTTCTCTAGCTTGTGCTTCCCAGCTGATCTTTTACTGCTACCACCAAGCTTTCCCCCAAAATGTCCAAGAATCAAACGCTAAAAGCCACAACGTTGTACATATTATGTATGAATAATGTCAGTAAGAGACGGACAGAAAAATATCGAGGGGATAAAAGCGGGGAATGATAGAAATGAATTACCTCTTGGAGCATTTTCTGCTCCCTCTCCTGTTGTTTCTTCATCATTGGTCGTGCCACACTTAAAGGTAATCTCTGATTCTTAGGGGGCTACATATGGTGAAATGATAATCAATAGGAAATTTGTTTATGATCATGCTTGTAATAGTATTTGCTTTGGCACATGGCAAACAAAATAAAAAATCAACAATAGTCCTCATTCACTCGGCTACCCCCTAATTCGATCGACTCATTCAATACACTGTCGTCTCAATTCACAGTTCAGTTTGCAACAAGTCGTCCCCATAGCCTGACATCTTTATCACTGATTAGTCTTCGACAAGATAAAAAGGAGACGCTTCGAGCTTTCATGGATCGGTTCAACAAGGCAGCCTTGGAAATCCGAGATCTTAACCCGGCTGTAGCGCTTCATCATCTGACAACAGCTTTAAAACCAGGGCCATTCGTCAATAGCCTATGCAAGAAACCTCCTTCAGATATGAATGACCTACGCAGGAGAGCCGATAAATATATGCAAATGGAGGAGTTGGCTGAGTTTCGGAATCAAGCCCGAGCCGAAATCATGAGTAAAACCGAAAAGCCTGGAGAGCCATCGTTTCGGGGGCGCAACAAAGAAATAACACTTCGAGAACGACCTACACGAGGACCAAAATATTCGCAGTACACTCCCTTGAATGCAAGTCGGGCAGCGATACTTGAGCAAGCTCTGACCTCAGAAGTGTTAGCCGTTCCAAAAAGAGCATCCACCCCGCCACGGGCAGATACCAACAAGTCTTGCAGGTATCATCGCAATCGTGGACATTCTACCGAGGAGTGCTCGACCCTTAAAGATAAAATTCAAGTTTTGAAAAAATGTAACCGTTCGATCCCCGAAATCCAACGGTTAGAGGCATGCAACCGTTCACCTTACCCTAGCAACTGTCTCCATTTTACCCTTGAAGAAAGCTTCACCTTTCCTCAAGGCTGGGGGGCAGTGTACAGGTGGGGGGTTCGGTCACCTCCCCATCGGCCGCCGAATGGCAGAATCAGGAAGCCGAATGCCAATCGGCCACCAGGATCGGCCTACCATCATTTGGTACTCTTAATCAAAGATTAGGGGTTAATTAGTCGATTAAGGTGTATTACCTAATACGGTAAGTATGTCACAGGGCCCATGGGGTCCAGGGCCCATAAATGTCAGTATAAATAGCTCAGGACAAAAGGTAACGTCACTGTTCATTAATTATCCTAGATATTCGAGCTTGTCCTGACTTGAGCGTTGGAGTGCCTTTTACAGGTACCAACCCCTTCACCAACGCATTGGATCGGAGCTCTCGTTCGGCCTTTGGACTACTAGAAGACTTAGTGTGCCCATCAAACAGGTACAGATTCCTTGACATCAAAGATGAAATTTCTCTAATAAACCCCTATTAATACTCAATTTAATATATAAAATCTTAAGTCAAATTAACACAAATAAATTTTAACTAATCACAAAGTAAACAATGTTATTTGACCTAAGAACCGTAAACATGCTATTGACCACTTATTTGATAATGATGGAAGGTAATAATCCCTTATCTACCATTTTTGTAAAAAAAAAACAAAAATTATTGTGAAAGCACAATAAATGGAAGAATATTTCATTCTCCATCGTCACAATAACGAGTCAGACAACAAACTTTTCAAATGAAGAAACGACGAACTTACTTCACTATCACTATAAGGTAATATCACTTCAAACTTGGGCCAGTCAGCCTCTCTTCATTGCATACTGTACCACTAATAGATTTAGGTTTTCTCATCACCTTCAATAAACGCGTACGGACCTCTTGGAAGAGGCACCAATTTTATTTTACTTTTATCTTTATAATGGATTCTACAACTAATCATAGGGGGTCCTGGCATGATGAAGTCCATGTATTTCTCAGTCCAACAAAACCATGTTGTGCTGTTCAAGAGTAGGAAAGGATAAAAAATTCCTAATGTTTCAGTTCATCAGAGATAAAGGATTAAACGACAGTAAAATATAAATGTTTTTCTGCGTGAATCTCATTGGTGATACAGACATTGTCTCGTACGACATAAACTTCAAATTGAAATCCTATTATCCACACAATGAAGAGGAGACAAATAAATGATCATTTAAAGATTCGAGAATTTTAAAAAGAAAAAAAAAAAAGAGCTCTGTGTATAACATCCTAATTCTACTGAGATCGAGAAGACATTGAAAATAATGCTTTTGCCTTCTATGTTGTATCATTTACAATATGCTAATATATTCTGGATGAAAAACAAAGTAGTTTCAACGGGGAACTAATGGTATAAAGTCCCCATGTTATAATGGTCAGATTTTATGACTCCTTCTTCTTAACCTGGTAGGGATATTTCTGGTATATTGAAATGCTAGTGACCACTAGTGGAAGAGCCACAAGGCAATACAATGAAGGTGGTTTTCCATCGAAAATAAACTGTAGTAATGCTGTAATTAGTAATGCTGAAACAATGACAAACCCCTGCAACCAAATTGAATGAAGGCCACTGTAAGTGCATTAGTGCAGAACAGAAAATGGGAAGAGGTTTTATACCCTAATACTCGCTATGAAATGATTTGACAAGTCATAGAATTGCTACCATGCCCGGCAACTTCTATGTTCCTCAATAATTTTATGTTGTCCACAAGCAAATTATCAAAAGTCTGTGTAGTTACTGCCTCTACTGCTCCACCGATAAGGTGCAATATTTGTTTCTCTTAATCAACATTAACAATGCATGCTAGAATTTTGATTAAAAACACCAAAAGCCGCGATAAAACAAAAAATGCATGCAATATTTTTCCCCCGATTAACCTCCTGATAGGTGATGTAGGAACATTGTAAACTAACAATAAGGGCCGACTAACATCTGATCTCCATTTTATCTGTCATCTGAGGATAGTGCATCCCAAAAGTAATTCAGTAATAGTTCAAAAAGTTAAACTTACCTTTCTAACACCACCAGCATGGCTTGTAACTAAACCAACAAGAATTCCACCAAAGGCATTGAACATTACTGGGATCTGAATTGAATAAAACAATATATGTAACTTTTTAAAGTTGATGTACATCAATATGACAATATCTATTAAAGGCACAATCACTCTTGCATATGGATAAAAATGGCCAAAAAAGGTGCTAAAAAGTCCTTATTATGAGTTTGCAAGTAATTATCATTTTAACTATTCACTAATGCAGTTAATGACAGATTTATCAAACCCTTACCCCCCAAAAGAAAAAAAGAACTCTTATCAGTCCTGACCTGAAAAAGTATCGATCCAAGTTTACATGTATATGCATGTGCTTGGCACAGAGGGCAGGAGGCCAAAATTTGAAAACTTCAGTTTTCTATATCTCTGTGTCAGTACTCGGTTGTATTGACTTTCTTCTGTACATGCATAAGCATGACAACAATCTAACAGTTCTAAGAATTATATAACAGAAGTCAAACAGTAGTATGAACATTACCAAAGTTAGAGGAGTCCAACCATAGAAAAACCCATTTTGTCTCATAGCTTCCCCATCTGGAGATTTCAAAGTACTGGCAAGCAAACATAGACTTCCAACAATAGACATCTCTATAGTCATCAAGTATGATGAGTGTTTCTTAACCTGTGATAGTAGGAATCAATAGATAAATATTAATATCAATCAATCGGGGAACTATAAATTTGAACAGAAAACTGAAAGTTCTGATAACCTGAGAAGCCCACTGACACAAGGAAGAAGCCAGTCCTGAGAGCACTGAAGCAACTAATACAGGAATAATTCCATAGAATAAAATTTGATCAGCATTACCACTAGCAGAACCTTTGCTAGAGCCTTCACCAACACTTAAAAGAACTGCCGCAACAATTAACAAGAGCAAGGCCCCAATTTGTTGAATGGATTGTTTTTGCCTGTACGAACCATTTATTAGATGCTTTGCAGTGTACAATGTTAACATTATAGGTACGAGGTTAGAGGAGAAAGAAAAGAAATACAGAAGGCTAAAAGTTAATGAAAACATGATTATGGATGTAATATGTTACAAACAAACCCCTAACACAATATTCCTATTTATGCTAATAATTAGATCAAGTACTATTATAACCAGTATAAGGTCAAGAACACCAACTACAAGGCCAATAACCTTATAACACTATATTAACACCCCCCTCAAGCTAATAGCCTTATAAGTTATAACACTATGCTTTAGTTGGTTACAAGAAGCAGAATAACACAAATAAATGCAACCCATTTTACAGAATTTACCGCCAAGAAGGAAAAGAAACCCAGTAAAATAAAAGAGGTGAACCATCCAAACACAGCAACAAAAAGAAGCACTGCTGAA